CTCATCTTGCCTGTGCAATCCATCTCGGGGCTTTAGCTGCTCAGAATGACTCCCAGATGCTTTAGAAAGTCTCTTTCCCCAGCCCAGCACTCGAAGAAGGAGTCAGAGCTCCTCAGTCTCGCTCTCAAGGTTGTTTATTGTATCTTATCTATAGAATTCTTTCTCCTGTCCAGCTGAAGTCCCCTCAGCAAGACAGACAGAGGCACTCTGCCTGCCCCTGGGGCAGGGTTATCTTTTTATATTAAAAACTATGTGTACAATGTTTACAATTGCTTTCCAATACCTATCACCTATGTTAGACAGTGAGCTTCTACTCTAAACCAATCTAAAAGTGCCAGCATTGGAGAAGGAGGAGGAGAAGTAGAAGAAATAGAAAAAGGGGAAGAAGAAGACAGAGGAGGAGAAGGAGAACGAGAAGAAGGGGGAGGAGAAGGAGAAGGAGGAGGCAGATTCCTCCATCTTGCTCCCTGAACCCCTATTCTAAAAACCCCAAAAACTCTATTTTTCACCCTGTGATAAATTCACCATCATTCTACTTAAACTTTCGTGGCTTGTAATTCTTCATATGAAGGTTGGTAATTGTTTTTTCCAAGGGCTAAATCAAAGGCACAGGGGTCTTGGGCTCTGTGCTAAGGTCTCTGAGCTCCCCTGGAGAGGGGTTTGAGTCCTCCAGGTCAGCCAGAGGAATTTCCTGGGTTCTGACAAACCCACATCCTCATCTTGCCCATGCAATCCCCATCCTTATCTTGCTCAGGCACTGGGCAGAGTGGATGTTTAATAGCACAGGAGCAATTGTTGGAGGATATTCAGCCTCCCGTGCTCTGTAGAGGGTTCAGTGCCCAGCCTTTCAGCGGGATGAGCTGTGTGTAATTGCTCTGCCTGCTCCTGCAAGAGTTATAAACCAGAGGTGCAGGGATCACCTCCCTTCATTCCCGCTGAGTGATTGCCTTGCTGACAGCAGGAGGCAATGGAGCTTGGTCCCACACCTATTTGAGTCATCACTCTGGGCTCCTGGATTAATAATTATTGATTATTAATCAATAATTAGTATTGATTTTATTATTTACAGAAGGTTGATTAATTTCTTTATTATTATATCTATTATTATTAAGAAACCTGTTGCTATTACAGACAGTTAGGACCTAATTAGTCCTCCAATCCAAACACCATCACCATTGGCTAATTAATAAACCATCCTTTGGGAAACAAATCTCCATAACACATTCCACATTTTCACAACCACAGGTGGAGCAGGTTAAGATAAGAATTGTTTCTCATTCTTTTCTCTGATCTTCTCACAGACTTTTGCCTAGGACAATGCTTGGGAAAGTTGTTTCTCTCTGTGACCAGAGAGCTGTTATCACATATTTGAGCTGTGGGGAGTCTTTTAAGGAAATTTCAAAGGGATCATTTTGGTCCCCCAAAAGGTGCAACCAGCTCTGGTGTGAGTAGGGCAGAGACAAAAAGTGATGGTGTGGTCAGGCTGCTGAGGATGATATGTATGGGAGAACTGTTCTGGGGCCAGGGATGAATCTGCTTCCAATTCAGTTTTGTTCTCTGTGGTTTCTAGAAAACAAACAAACAAAAAAAACACCCTAAAATAACAAACCAAACCAAGCAAACAAAACATCTACAAAACAAAAACAAACAAAATTAACCCAAACAAAAC